CTCGTCTGCAGTACGATTTTTCTACTGCAGTATCATTACTTGTCAGCAGTACGATTTCTCTATTGCAGTATGATTACTTGTCAGAAGTACGGTTTCTCTACTGCAGTATGATTACTTGTCAGAAGTACGATTTCTCTACTGCAGTATGATTACTTGTCAGAAGTACGATTTCTCTACTGCAGTATGATTACTTGTCAGAAGTACGATTTCTCTTCTGCAGTAGGAAAACGTGACTGTAGTAGGATTTCTCTATTTCAGGCCCATATTAGTATGAAATGTTGAGTTTAGATTTTAACGATTCATAAAATGTGAGGTAAATCATGTTATGATAATGCATATAAACATATTTACATTGTTCAAGTATTCGTCCTATTTATCATAAACCTATAAAATCCAGTTAAACCTGAAGCACACATTTATGTACCTACACTTCTATCCGCACTATGTAAATAAAACACTAACAGGGTCGCGTCGTTAGCAGAGCTCAGAAATAACATGTCTTTATACACGTCAATATTTGATGAACAAGTAATAGGACCGCTCAAGTTACCACCCGTAAATTACACAAAAATCAAGTCACTCCCTGTTGAAATCATATAAATGTTCTGATTGTTTAGTTTTTACGTATGACCTGATCTATTGTATTTATCATCGGTCGACCTAAAGTTTGGCGTGTTTTACAATGTAGATTTTGCTACGACAAAAAATAAACAACTACAAAAAAGTAAAACAGAATCATATTTCAAACTCAATTCCAACAATAATGTAAGGTAGAATATCAACACAGATACAGGAGGACTGTCAAAACCTTGCATTGAATTATTCACAGTCAAATTTACGTCGAATCGTACTACTAACATGTATGTTGTTTATATAATCTGACCTCTATATGATGTACTATTGACATCTTTATATAATCTGACCTCTATATGATGTACTGTTGACATGTTTGTATAATCTGGCCTCTATATGATGTACTGTTGACATGTTTGTATAATCTGACCTCTATATGATGTACTATTGACATGTTTGTATAACCTGACCTCTATATGATGTACTATATAACTGTTTATATAATTGACATGATGTACTATATTTTTATAATCTGATGTTATATCTATATGATGTACTATTGACATGTTTGTATAATCTGACCTCTATATGATGTACTATTGACATGTTTGTATAATCTGACCTCTATATGATGTACTATTGACATGTTTGTATAATCTGACCTCTATATGATGTACTATATACCTGTTTATATAACCTGACCTCTATATGATGTACTGTTGACATGTTTATATAATCTGACCTCTGTATGATGTACTGTTGACATGTTAATATAACCTGACCTCTATATGATGTACTATTGACATGTTTATATAATCTGACCTCTAAATGATGTACTATCGACATGTTTATATAATCTGACCTCTATATGATGTACTATTGACATGTTTATATAATCTGACCTCTATATGATGTACTATCGACATGTTTATATAATCTAACCCCTATAAGATGTACTATTGACATGTTTATATAATCTGACCTCTATATGATGTACTATATACCTGTTTATGTAATCTGACCCCTATAAGATGTACTATTGACATGTTTATATAACCTGACCCCTATAAGATGTACTATTGACATGTTTATATAATCTGACCTCTATATGATGTACTATTGACATGTTATATATAATCTGACCTCTATATGATGTACTATATACCTGTTTATATAATCTGACCTCTATATGATGTACTATATACCTGTTTATATAATCTAACCCCTATAAGATGTACTATTGACATGTTTATATAATCTGACCTCTATATGATGTACTATATACCTGTTTATGTAATCTGACCCCTATAAGATGTACTATTGACATGTTTATATAACCTGACCCCTATAAGATGTACTATTGACATGTTTATATAATCTGACCCCTATAAGATGTACTATTGACATGTTTATATAACCTGACCCCTATAAGATGTACTATTGACATGTTTATATAATCTGACCTCTATATGATGTACTATATAACTGTTTATGTAATCTGACCCCTATAAGATGTACTATTGACATGTTATATATAATCTGACCCCTATAAGATGTACTATTGACATGTTTATATAATCTGACCTCTATATGATGTACTATTGACATGTTTATATAACCTGACCTCTATATGATGTACTATTGACATGTTATATATAATCTGACCTCTATATGATGTATTATATACCTGTTTATATAATCTGACCTCTATATGATGTACTATTGACATGTTATATATAATCTGACCTCTATATGATGTACTATTGACATGTTTGTATAACCTGACCTCTATATGATGTACTATATACCTGTTTATATAATCTGACCTCTATATGATGTAATATTGACATGTTTATATAACCTGACCTCTATATGATGTACTATTGACATGTTTATATAACCTGACCTCTATATGATGTACTATTGACATGTTTATATAATCTGACCTCTATATGATGTACTATTGACATGTTTATATAACCTGACCTCTATATGATGTACTATTGACATGTTTATATAATCTGACCTCTATATGATGTACTATTGACATGTTTGTATAACCTGACCTCTATATGATGTACTATTGACATGTTTGTATAATCTGACCTCTATATGATGTACTATTGACATGTTTATATAACCTGACCTCTACATGATGTACTATTGACATGTTTGTATAACCTGACCTCTATATGATGTACTATATACCTGTTTATATAATCTGACCTCTATATGATGTACTATTGACATTTTTATATAACCTGACCTCTATATGATGTACTATTGACATGTTTATATAATCTGACCTCTATATGATGTATTATTGACCTACATAAATATCAATTCATCAACTAGCAAAATAGCTTTGACTGTGATGATATACAGATTGAAATTTTTGATGTAATTCTAAATACGATTCTAAACAAACATTAAATGGAAATGACGTAAAATCACACGCTTTGATTAGAAAAAAAGGAAACTGATCTCTGTACAGATTCTATGAATTTCAGAAAGGAAACAAGTCATTCTTTGCACAATTCTTAACAGTTGGCGAGAGATGAATGCAGTGATACAATCAGAGTATAATTTTTATCTTGGTTTCATTTCAATTTATTATCGGCTATGTAGGACAAAAAGACTTGAATTAGGAAAATGACAAACATGTCAGATTGTCGTGTAGTACTTATATGATAACCAGGCAAGTTATTGAAGTACTATGTAAAAGGATTATCGCTTTTTCTATAAATTCATTCAAGATACCTATAAAAGAATGAATGTCAGACTGAGGAAAGCTTACCACAACCATGAATTATAGACAAAAATCGGTATACATTGAATACTAGTTTTGTCATATTCATTTGTAAGTTCAAGAAAACCGTTTGATTTCGTGGAAGATTTAAAGAAGTGTCCCCTGTATCTGAACAACTCATGGATTTCTCATGAAAAAGTGTCACTGCCTTTAAACAATGAAAATTATGGGAAAAAACTCTCATTCTTTCTGCAATGCACAATCAAAATGTCGATTTTGCAACATGTTTGAAAAATTGGTTCATTTAGTCTAAGTAGATGGTACAATAATACCATACAAACCGATTGATGATGATCACGTGGTATTGAAAGTGACGGTAGCCACAATGTCAAGTGTTCCAATATCACCATATTGAGGTAACTAATCACATGGTATTGCTAGTGACACAGGACAAATTATCAGGTGTTCCCCTATCGCCTGATTGCGGTAACTCATCTCGTGGTATTGTAAGTGACACGGGACACATTGTCAGGTGTTCCCCTATTGCCTGATTGAGGTAACTGATCTCGTGGTATTGTAAGTGACACGGGACACATTGTCACGTGTTCCCCCATCGCCTGATTGAGGTAACTGATCTCGTGGTATTGTAAGTGACACAGGACACATTGTCAGGTGTTCCCCTATCGCCTGATTGAGGTATCTGATCTCGTGGTATTGTAAGTGACAAGGGTCACATTATCAGGTGTTCCCCTATTGCCTGATTGAGATAACTGATCTCGTGGTTTTGTAAGTGACACGGGACATATTGTCAGGTGTTCCATTATCGCCTGTTTGAGGTAATTGATCTCGTGGTATCGTAAGTGACACGGGACACATTGTCAGGTGTTCCCCTATTGCCTAATTGAGATAACTGATCCCGTGGTATTGTAAGTGACACGGGACACATTGTCAGGTGTTCCTCTATTGCCTGATTGAGATAACTGATCTCGTGGTATTGTAAGTGACATGGGACACATTGTCAGGTGTTCCCCTATCGCCTGATTGAGGTATGACGAGTTGTTTGGGCGTTCGATTTATATTGCTTTCTAAGGAGATTTGTGTACTTTAATCGAACCTTAACATCTCTTACGACCAGTATCTTAAACTCCTTATAATTCAGTGAACGAGATTCAAAAGTTGGTCATCACGATGTCGTTAGCCGTGAAGAAGAATAGTTTCACTAGACGTATACTTTTCGTGTTTAGTGATACATGATTATAATGGTGTGTTTAACCTTACTAATATTGTCGTTTTCGGTAGGATAACAATGGTCAAGGTGACGAGGGATGTAGAAAACTGACCACAGTATGTGTATACGGCCGTGATAAGGCGGACAATGGTGGCTGTATAAATAGGTGTGTTATCTTGTCTGGATGGGTCAGTGAAAGTTTGGAGTTCATGTATACGATTGATGTAAAGATATATGTATACAGAGAAACAGAATCAATACACTGTGGACTAGGAAGTTTTACATCAGGGTACACATGTCGCTGTATCTACCGAAACAAAGCGGTATTCTGCGTGATCTGCTAACATTCTGAGATTCTACTTAACATGTATTTAACGTGAAAGATTTGTGTAATACTCGCGGGTTTTTAACGAGTATAATGAAAAATCACTATATCAACCACTAAGTAAAATGTCCACCAAACAGGAGACGGCGAGATTAGTAGGTGATGAAGACATAGGGCGTCCACTGAGGAGAGAGACTGTAGTGCGCTTAAGACTTAACCTGGTTGTACTCTGTGTGATATTTATACTCGTCTTTACAGCTTACTCGGGTCTTCAAAACCTGGAGAGTAGTTTAAATCCTGGGATCGGAATATATTCCCTTGCCTCCATAACTGGAGGCGCATTGATTTCCTGTATTCTTGCGCCGACTGTGATCAGGTTCATTGGAGCAAAATGGGCTATTTCCTCTGCAGCCCTTTGTTTGGCAGCGTTCGTGGCAGCGAACTTCTACCCCAAAACAGATGTACTGATCCCTGCCTCGATCCTGTATGGGATGTCGTCCGGGTTTATGCTCACGGCACAGGGTACCTACGTCACGACCATCGCCATCGAGTATGCCCACGTAATTGGGGAGAGAGCAGAAACTGTTATAAGCCGATTTTTCGGATTTTTTCTAATGGCTTTTCAAAGCACACAGATCTGGGGAAATCTGATTTCGTCACTCGTCCTTCAAACTGATGGATCATCAGACAACGCTACAGCACCGAAATCAAATATGACGTCGGATGTATGTGGTGCAGCATTTTGTCCCAATAGTATTTCTTCCTCTAGGAATAGTTCCGCCACACCCCTTTTAAGTAAACCACCCGAGCATATATTAGATACACTTTTAATTATCTATATAGGGTGTGCATTGTCTGGTTTTTTCATTGGTGCACTTCTTCTGAAGCCGATACAGTCTAGGACCAGCGAAGACAAAAGAACAGGAATCGTAACAACGTTGTTTTCAACTCTTCGACTTCTCGGGACAGATACCAATATGCTACTGATTGTGCCAATGGCGATGTACAGTGGTGTAGAACAGGTGGTGATGTACGCGCAGTACACACAGGTACAGTTGAAATAGGTGTTTACCAAGGTGGTCGTATATACGTTTTGTACCAAGAGGCACACATGTATATTACAGTATATATGTATGCGTACATATCATTATGTAGATACATGTTTATGCAGGTTAAATACAAAAACACACACGCAAATATACGCGCACACATGACGTTAAGATAAGTGTACATTGTACAAACAGCTGGAAAGACATGAAGGTATACGTGTACGTATATTAAGTTGTGTCCAAAAATTCATTGTACCTTATCACAATATAAGTATACTTGTAGATATTTCACTTAAAGATAGATCAAGGCACATGCATTTACATACACAGAAAGTGTGATGATATGTGAGGTATACCTACACATCATGTCTACATACAGGTACGTACACAACATGTATCTGCCTTCATGTACATACATATTCCCAGTCTACATCAGATACATACATCTGTGTACGTAGAGATACAGACGCTGCGGTGACTGAATCAACAACAATGACAATGATTACGGCTTTGTTCTGGAGAGCCATTAACACACATTTGCATTTCATTTTTTCCTGTAGACATACCGATATTTATATGTATCATCCGCTCTTTTTTCTGGTAGGCGTACGTGGCTTGTGAGCTGGGATTATCCTGGGTAGGATACACTATGATATGTTTTGGTGCTGCCAACACAGTTGCCTCCCCTTTGAACGGGATGCTGACTAAATACGTTGGTCGCCCTTTCCTATTTCTCCTTGGCTTCTGCGTGAACAGTGGAATGTTAGTCCTTCTACGAATTTGGACGCCTGATAAAGACCAACTCTTCCTGTTTTTCATCATACCTGGAGTTTGGGCGCTCGCTGATGCGATTTGGCAAACACAAACCAGTGGTTAGTAATTGAAGTAAAATAGTCTTTAAAAGGGCAGTTTATATATCAATACATAACAAACAGAAAGCATTTTATTTTTATTTACACTTTGATTGCTTTTTTCTTTATATACGCTCCTTAAAACAACGAAAGTCGTCGCTCATAAGACAGTATACGCTTAAATAGAAAATAGTTCCACAATAACATTTTTTTTTCTTATATTTTTGTGAGATATTTAGATAGTTACATTTCAATTCACATGCTTTGAGATTTCTAGTTTATATAAAAAGTCACAAAATTAAGAAATATAGGTGAGGTTAGGGGACAAAAAACAAACTAGAATATACCCGACAGCGGATTCACACTAAATTTTTTCGTAAGTGTACAGCGGTCCGGATTCCTACGCACTAGACTTGACGATTACCGAAGTGTAAATATAATTTTATTGGTAAGGTCAAATAGGGAATACACACCGGAAATGTAAATACCAAAACTATGTTGGTATAGTGTATACATACGGAGGTATGTATAAAGAGTTACACACGTCATCATGTCATGGTTTTTTTTTAAACAGAGGTTATATAAGGTAGAACATGTTTACTTTGAAATCAAATTCGTTAGTGAAAGTTAATTTTACTCAAGTAAAATACTGGTACATAACAAATATTTCTTTACTTATTACAAAGAGGTCACCTGGTAAATATGTAAAAGAAACTACTTGTAAGTAACATCTCGTGTAGCAGACAATTCCTTTAACTGTTCCTACTTACTTTACGTACATTTGTGATATATTCATCAACTGTATGAACTTTTAACCTTAGCCAAGTCGAGGTTAGTGTCGCTGTTTACTCGTCTTAGTAACAAGCTAGAGGAAATGAACATTGCTTTTTATTCTATTTTATTTATTTACTCATTTATAATGCTCTGTAATGTTGAAATTGGAAACCCGTTAGAGGTCAAATACATACAAGTTTATGTTTTGAAAAACATGGCTGTTCATAATGTATAAATTAAATGAAATGTCGCAATGATATTAAAAATAATCACAGTGTGTGTTCTGTGTATTTCAGCGCTCGTGGGTCATGTGTTTCCGTCACAACAGGAACCGGCGTTCGGAAATATTCGGATGTTTGAAGCTCTCGGATTTTTTGTTGTGTATCTTTATAGTAACCACGTGTGTCAGGACATTAAGTTGTACGTTGTAGGGGCGTGGCTTGTGTTGGCTGTTACCATGGTATTTGTGGTGGAGATCAGGATACGAAACAGAGGCCTAGCCATATATAAGGAGATACAGACAGAGGAAAATTCCTGATATTCAGACTAAATAGACAATATGTTAACATATACTTATGATGATGATACTCTCATGGAATATCGACCCAGCTTAAGTCTAGAAATAATTTTTGAGTAAAGTTGATAAAGTTGTTGGAATTTCTAATACATTCACAAGATGTTAAACGCAATAATTATAATTGATGCCAACATTGTTTGTATCGCTAACTGCGATTCAAATAACTTCAATGAGTTTGCGAAATATACTGCCACTTACACAGAACGGTCTTATCATAACCGAGCTTGTCGAGGTACGTCAATGAATGAAAATGCTTTGTAAATCTCATGGCAAATCAGAGGAAACGAAATGAGCTTAAATATAGGAATACATAATCTTAAAAAAAGAATAAAAGTAGCGGTAGTTAAGGTGCAGTTGTCCTAAATATAAATAACAACAAAGTTGTTTAACTTGTCATGGACATTGGTATGGTGTTCACATTTACACCATATGACAGGACGAGTTATCCCCCTTATCACGGATGCTTGAAAATGTCTCATATTTGTTTGTCGTGCCCCAAGGAAGATCTAGACTTACACCATGTTGGAATGATGTTACGTATCAAAATTGTTTATTCTTTAAAATAATCAAATAAAAAGGGTGTATAATTATCATTGTAGTCGTCTTTTATTATAACATTAATGTTTTTTTTTATTTACAAAACACAACAGGTAAACACTAGCATGTAAAATAACCTTCTATCAAACAAAAATGAAACCAACCAGGAAGAAAGATAGATATTCATGGCTCCCGCACGGACGCCATTCGCTTTATCTTCCACCCTGACTGGCTTCATAACGAATATATACCCTTCCTGATAACAGTTTACTGTTTAGTATCCTCAAACCGCTGTAGTGAGTCAGCTGTTGACATCCTGATATTCTGATCTTGGGAACAAAACCAATCGAAAGATCTGTCAGAAGTAAAACACCCATAAATCAAGGAAGAAGGAATCTAACTAATGAGGAAAAGAACATTGAGAATAGGGATATTGGAATCAGCACGTTCACCATATAACCTGGAGGAAAGATGACTGTAAGAAAATCGAGATAAGCGACTGATATAGAAGTGTCTATTGCGTCCTTTTGACTTCCGGTGGATGAAAAAATCAGCGATTCTAAAATGAAATTGAAGGACTTGACATGGTCTATGTGGCCTGTTTTGATAAACTCGTCGATACATTATGCCTCATATACCAGCAGGTCAGATAAGAGAAGGACACAATTTGTCTCATGAAACAACACATATCTAGACCACAAGGAATTCAACAATCCTTTCGATTTCAGCGTCAGTTTATTTCTTCTTGTCTTTAGACTTTTCACCATTACGCTCCTGTATAGCTCACATACATAAAATGTCTCTTTATTATTTCTTATCATACTGCCTTCTACATGTTACGTTTTCGACATTATGTATTGTGGGGATGTATCAGCAACACCTTCATTGTACAATGTGTACATTTTCAAAATAGTATCAGAATGTACTGGTATGTATTACCTGATTCTGTGTAAACCATATTTCATACGTAACGATAGTCGTATATGTATTTGAAAAATCATTGAAATATTCAAATTGATTCATGTTTTGTTTTTCGTTCTTTTTAATGTAAAAAGATAAGGAAAGAAAATGATACATCAGTTTGTCTAATCTTCTGTCCACTAAGCTAGACACAGTTGGTCAAATTTGATAACCTTACTGAAACGATTTGTGTGAATGTAGTTTTAAAACTACCGTTAAAGGGAAAGGAACGACATTAGGGGCAGGAATTAATTTCAACATAGTGAACAAAATCTCTGACAGACGCATAAACCTCTACCCAGATAGCCGCCCCATCATCTTGCTTGTTTTTGCGTTTTCAAAGACAACACTTGGTATCCTGGCATCGAAAAGCAATTACAGTAAAGTTTCCTGCTAGAAGGTACAACCACGTATGCAAAGACCAGTCTGTTTCTAAGTTGCATGGGAAACACAAAGTACCATTTGCCACTGGGTAACGCCGAACCATACGATTCAGATCTGCATCTTAGGTTTTAAGGTCCGAAGCTGCACTGGGCTATCGCAGCCCCCACTTGAGGCCAATTTTCGCCACGTTAGGATGATATGGATATGGATTAGGTCAGATAGCATGGTCAGTGTTTATTTTATAGATGGGTACGTAAGTGGACTGATGTATATCATATACATAGTATATACACGCGTTGAATAAGACATTAACAATAACGATAACGGCGACAGTATGTGTGACCAGTGAAATGTTGATTAAGTTTGGGCGAACAGAAATCATTGATGTATTAAATCAGCTGCTTCCACTGATCTGGTATAACCAGCACACATTACTAGTGCGAACGGAACATTCAACAGAAAATTCCAAAAACACCCAACACAAAGTTACTCTATACAAGAATCATGGAAGAGAACACGAGTTTATTAGTATTGGAGGATATGGTGACACCGACAACAAAAGGGAAAATTTACATAAATCTGACTGCAATATGCCTTATTTGGGTGTTTGCTTTTACTGCATATTCCGGTCTTCAAAATCTAGAAAGTAGTCTCAACCCGGATATCGGGGTGTACTCTCTGGCTGTAATCACTGCTGGCGGCTTGGTGTCCTGTATACTGGCACCAACTGTTATCTACTATATTGGACCGAAAGGAGCTCTCATTCTATCAAGTATATGTCTGTCAATATTCATTGCAACAAATTATTACCCTGAAACTTACATTCTACTTCCGGGAGCAGCTATTTATGGACTTTCTTCAGGGATTCTCTGGACCGCGCAAGGAGTATACATCAGTACAATATCGCAACAATATGCAGCAGTTGTATGTGACTCTTTTGATTCAGTGCTAAGCAGATTCTTTGGAATATTTTGCATGGCCTTTCAAAGTACTCAGATCTGGGGGAACTTGGTGTCATCTGTGATCCTACAGACTGGCCAATCTGAGAAAAACTCCACAGGTTCAATGGAAACGTGTGGTGCTAACTTTTGTCCAGGAATGGCGAAACCGACAGACGATGCTTCAGATAAACCAGACACAGAAGTAGTGGACGTCCTCATCTCTGTATATTTGAGTTGCTCAATTTTTAGTAAGAATTAAATAATCGGATGGTTTTGTATGTTGATTGTAGATTGGAAAGTATGGCATGTTTGTTTGGACCAGTCATTGGTATGTTAATATCTTTATATCAGAATTTATTTATCTCATATATCGTCATGGTGACATCTTGGATAGAATTTGAAAATGCAATATAGCTATGTAAAGCGCTCCATCTTACATAATATTTTAATCCCCCCCCTACCGCTAATTTCAGCAGTAAACTAAGATCAGACATGAAATTCTTATCGCGAATTTTCTATGAAAAACCGAATGTTGTCTCTTCAAAAATACTCACCGTCGGGAAAAATCAGTTTGCGATAGTAGAGTCACCAAATTTGGAGACATAATATGGTTATCTTATAAGCTAATTGCTTATAAGCGCAAATCATTGGTATATAATATTTTTATTGTAATTATTTATGCAGGTCTCCTCATTACCATATTCCTTCTGCGACCAATCGCAAGCAGATACAACAGTGACGTCATGAGTTCGAGGACAGCCTTTTTAGCCACTTTGAAGCTGTTACTTACCAATAGCAACATGGCACTATTGGTCCCCCTGGCAATGTACAGCGGAATGGAACAGGTGGTCTTGTATGCTGAGTTTACAAGGGTAAGACTGAAGTAAATTGATTTATCCATGATAACGCAACTGGACTGAAACAGTGTGATGACATATAAAACCAATTGTGTGATCGAGATGTTTCGCGAAATATAACTATATATTAAACACAGTAGCATCAACAAACATTACAGAGACGTCAAAACTATCACATTTTTGCTAATCGAAACTGAGTCATACTGATAGAATAGATATGTATTTTATCCCATGGAAGTTTGGAATATCTTTAATCACTGGGCTGACAAGAATAAATGCGCTCCTGCTGCTTAAAAGTGTACAGGAGTGGGCTTTGTTACTGTAGGAATAGGCTTGGGTTTATACAGTACATTCCCTCCAGTGAAAATGCGATTTAATTACTTTGATTTAATTAATATCATGATAAATGTCAAAGATATCAGAAAATAGCTCAAGTAACTAATAAGATTATTACTCTGTCTAGTTAAAAGTGAATTGTTTTTAGATAAATCTAGCTATTTGTTGGTAATGGAAGGTAAATGTGATATGGTAATATGATGTAATCTGTAGATACATACTTACTTGTTCTATCTTAGCTTCTATGGGCTCTTACCTGATATTTAAGTCAGTTACAAAATCTGAAACTGAGCACATACTATTTTTATTCAGGTAGAGAATGAAATTAAAATCACTTTCAGAAGTTTTTAAGTTTGATACCTTACCTAGTGTTTATTGTTAATTTTTTTAACAAATCTCCTCTCACAGATTAAGATACCGCTATTTATAAAACTGATTAGGTACATGCTACCTTGTACCAATATCATGATTTCAAGTACAGTAGTTTGAAAGATAATAGTCGACAAAGACAATAGGCACTGCCATGATTACATCGCGACTCAGTATGTATTAGGATATCTTGCCACGCTGTGAGAAGTTCGATATGTTCAGGATTTTGGCTGTTTCTTCAAAACTTTCTTGGTTCGTTCTCTAACACAATGCACAAAGATAAAAGACCACATCTGCTGTGGATTATCTATCTTCTTATTGTATTTTATGTTTTCCTTTCTCTGTCAGAAAGTTTCATACATATTATTCTCGGCTGAGGTCTTGATTTGATAAAATATTTGTGTTTATTAGGCTTATGTCGCTTGCGAGCTCGGCTTGGAGTGGGTAGGTTACGCCATGATTTGCTTTGGACTTGCCAACACAGCAGCATCACCACTTAATGGAGTGTTAGCAAAGTGGTTAGGCCGCTCCACATTGTATATATTTGCTACTCTACTAAATGCCGGATTTCTTACTGTCCTTCTGTTTTGGACGCCACGGGATCATGACATGGCACTCTTTTTCATTATACCAGGCGCTTGGGCAATCGGAGATGCTATATGGCAAACACAAAATAGTGGTAATTATATGCAGTCCTGTTGTCGATATCATGTGAAACATGCATCAGATAAGAAACTTCTTAATATTGTACAGATGAAAGAGAGAAAAAGATAAATAAACCACCGTTTGTTTTTCTTAGTTCACAGTCTATATTGCACATCACAGAAATTTAAAGGCATTTTGAGTAGATATCGCCGCTGGGCGCTCGTTAAACAACGTGTCACTGTCACTGTCTGACAGTGTGACTGATATTGAATATTTCACATGACTACCTATGCATCCAATAAAAACATGTCTTTGTAAAGCTTTCACTTGATAACGTATTTAGATTTATTTAAAAATGGTGACCTTCGCCTACATGTATCTATGTTACAGCACTTATTGGCTACGCCTTCCCAGAAAATCCAGAGGCAGCCTTCGCTAATCTCAGGATGTTTGAAGCCTTGGGATTCTCCGTGGCTTATCTTTATAGTAACTCTTTGTGTGTGAATGTCAAACTCTACATGGTAGGGGGACTGCTCCTGGTATCGGTGATTCTCGTAACGTTTGTGGAAATAAGGCTGCGAAAGGCGCCACCAAAGTACCGTAAAGTGGACCAATAAGCTTGGAGGCAATAGCAGATGTTGTCTTTCTTGAAAGTGCGACAGAAAAAAATAGCAGCAGCCCTTCAGTGAAAGACAAAACGCAGATATTGATTAAAGATAATTGCTGTTGATAATGTCAATTCATTCGGAGTAAGATTGAGTTGATCTCTAGACAAATTTACTTTCCCCGCTTTGTGTAATACAAATATAAGATTTGTGCGTTGTGGGTAAGGTGATATTTCCTCAGCTGTTTGTTAATGTCGGCTTGAATCAGATACCATTCCTGACAACAAAGATGATATCAAATTTTTGTCTCATACCTCATTTGATAATTGGGAGACTTTCTTGAGGGTATAACCGTGGTTCTCAAGGAAAACACAATAATAGCTCTTTTTTAAAATTAAAAACACCCCTTATAGATTCATCATAATGTCTTCACTTTTAATGATTATCAAAAGGGACATGATTTTATTGACCAATTAACATTTAACCTAGGAGTCTTATTATGTTGAAATGAGTTACCTTACAGTAGACAATACATACTTTATGTATGTATCTTGAGAACGGCAATTCCATTTACGGGAACTCGTTCTTAGCCATCCGTGAAACCTGGCTCTTTTTTACACATGAAATGAAACAATATCTGTTAACAAAGATCAAGTTATTGGATTTCTTACCAACTGGAACAAAACAAACTCATGATGTAAGTCTTGAAAGTATGGATGGGTCTGATATGGAGATGGATACTTCGAAAGTTAATCCAACGCAGCATGGCCTCTTTCTATCAAGTGAATGTGACCTGCTTCCATCTTTCAATGGTTATGATTTATTACAGTAGACAATCTTGTGAATCCTGCAAAGTAATTTTCGGTTAAGATCTTAAAAACTGCAATCTTTCTGCTGAAAACAGTAACTCTATAGCATTTCGCTTTAAAGAATATACCCATTGTCACTCCATATTTGTATTCTCCATCATAAAAGTACGTGGGTATTTTTTTCAATCATAAAATAATCCGATATATGTTTTTACCCGTCATAAAAGTATCCGCCCTATCGAATCACATGATTGCTGTCCTATATGATGGATAACAGCTTCCAATTCATTTGACCATTAAACCATAGCAACTAGCCAGGAGGAAATTACCTGTTGCTGGGCTAAACTGTACGTGCCATTTTCATAAAAGTAATTTAGCTAGATGTAACTTAGATGAACAATTGATTATGAATTAGTTCTGATTGCTACATGTAGTTTAAAACGTCATGTTGTTTATAATTATCGGTCATAAATATGAACAATAGTATTGATATTATTGAATGGGGCTATCTATACATACCTAAGATGATTAGAAGACACAATGTCAAGTCAAAATGGTGCGTACCCCATCTTAATCATATTTGTACTGTTGAGTATAAAATAGTTATCTTGTTGATGTTGTTTTTAAGGCCTAGAAGATTCTAAATAACTATTATGAAGTGAATTACAATTCCATTGATTTTTTTTCTGATATTACATAGAGCTTCTTGTGAAAGAAAAGATCACAACAAAGTGCAGAAACATTCACTTATTTCCTCTTTAAGATTCACTTGAACACATGTGCAGATATATCTTCCTCTAATTTTGAGATTATGTTCCGAAACCATGATCAATGTTATTAAAAATATATAGAATGGGAATACAAATACTATGGGGGAGGAGGGGCGGTTAATTTTATGATGGTTAGAAAAATACTTTTATAATACACTTTTAAATAACGGAGTCAACAGTCAAATTAACGAGTATCAAGCTAGTGAAATGTTACAAAGCTTCCAAGACGTTTTTTGGAATACAGCTTCCAGAAAGCATACCATAAGTATCAAATACATGTATATACGTTTTCACCTACCAATTCACATTTTGAGTTTGATTTTCCTGTGTCATCTCCTAGACTTGTACAATCTATGACCGGCGCTCCACTGACGAGTCCTGGAAGAATAAAAAAAAATGCACGATACAGTTATACGTTTGGCTATTCACTTTTGTGTCTCTTAGGTACAATTCTTCCTAAAGCTAAATTAATGTTTGTCCAAATTTCTGAATTTTCTCGAAGAACTATTGTGTCGCCATTAGTGGATCATTGCACCATCGTATTTCTGTCATTTCTGTATCTATACTATTTCAGTGACGAATCACGTTAGTTAGCTTTCGGTCATAGGTCCAGCACTGCGTTACTGAGAACCTGATAAACTAAGAACAGCTTTGTCCATATAAAGAAAGATATAGACGGTTGTGTTAAGTTATGTAAAGATAGTTATAAAATCATTATACAGAATCCATAAGCTACCACGTTCGCGAGACGTATGCCATACGTGGTTTTGAATTATTACTAGTTCGTTACTATCAAGAAGGTCACTTTTTTTTTGGAATTTTACATAATTGCTGCGAGGAATTTTGTTAAACACAGATTTGCCACGATGTGGTGAAATATATAACAAAATATAGTTTAAAAGTCAATGACTAAAACCAACGCCTGAATTATATCACAGTGACTCGATTTGGGGATTTTGAGTCTTAAAGGAGGTCAACTGAAACATTTAGGGTATGTTCAACTTTCAATCCATGTTTCATGTGGAATATAGGATGCAAAAAGTTTGTGTTTGTATGTATTTAGTTTGTGATTTTCATTATACATGTTGCGTTTACTCCAAATATAATATTTTGTTTATATATACATACTTTTCATCATATCTGTAATTATGTTTCAACATTGATTGATTGATTAATTAATTTTCTTAAGATTTGAATTCAACCTTTGCTAAAGACATGAAAAAAATAATAAAACATTATCAGCCTTTTGACGACTTTAACAACAAACAAAAAAATAAGGGAAAACTTTCAATGAATGAAAAGTGTCAAAAGAATAGATGACTGTCGTTGCCTGAATACAAGCAATTTCTATTCGAATACTGCATGAACTTCTTCAAATGTGATCATAATCAATGGGTCAGTTCAGAATCATTATTTACATATCAATATGATTTTAAACAATATTATCGTATCAGTTCAGAATCACGTTCATCATTTACACCGTAATAATTGGGTGAATCAAGAATCGCAATTACAACTCCTTTCATACTTATTGGGTCAGTCTCGAATCATGATTTTCATTTTCACATAAATGCTTCATAAATGTTTGGTCAAAGCTAGATCACATTTATCATTCCCATTATAACTATTGAGTCAGTGTTGAGTCAGAATATTTCTATTATCATTATTGTATCATTCTAGAATCAAGATTATCATTTTCCAATGTAAGTCAGTTAGGAATTACGATTTTAATTTCCTTCATAATTTTCAGGACAATCTTGAATCACGATTTTATTTTTCCATAAATGTAACATAAGTTTGTGATCAGTGCTAAATAACGTCTTTCATTTCCATGATATTTGTTAGATCAGTGATTCTATCATAATTATTTATCACTCTTATCATTTTTATATTAATTATTGGTCAAGTCCTCAATTACGATTATCATTTCTATTTTAATTATTGGGTCAGTCCTGAGTCACGATTGTCAGTTCTGTAATAATTATATGTAATATTCAGTGCTAAATCAGTTTTATCACTTCCATCCAAATGAATGGGTCAGTGTTGAATTAAATTTCTTTTCTTGTATTTAGGTCAGTAATGAGTCACATTTAATAGTTTTGTCACAAGTGATGGGTTCGTGCTGAATTATGATCTATCATGAAAAGCGATTGGGTCGGTACTGCATTCTATCATTATAATAAACAAGGGTCTATTGAAGTCTTATCGTTGTTACTTTGAGGCCTAATTCCTGTTACTTCTTATCTTAAAACCTCACACTGTGTCACTATTGGTCGACTATGGACGATTCCCGACGTTCCAAACAGGTAATATCTTTGACGTGTATAACCATCTTTTTTGACGTCACCTTGTCGATATACTACTATCACGAGAATGAGAGTCTGTTCGCTTCATCAGTTAATGGGGTTGGAGTTTAGAGTATTTTCCCTGAAACCATCAGCCGAAATGTCACGAATACCTTGATTGTCGTTTGGTGTTGCCGCTAATTTATAGTGCTAGTTGATATCGGCATTTTTGAAGATGTGTTGTCATGTACACGGATGTTATCTCCTTAGCTCACGGAGTTACATTAATCCATGTAACGTGTGTGTGTCGGCGTGTGTGTGTATGTGATTGTACAGATCACAAGGTTATATACATGTATAAAAATTAGTTATTTTAGATTAAGTAACAAAATTATATCAATATCATTACAACCCGTTAGAGAGTGATACTATGAAATCAGCATGGTGGATTATTATTTATATTCGACATACGTGTCGAGTGATGTAGTTAAAAGTTATACCATTACCGTTTGTCACCAGACGTGATTGTAACAATTATAAGACTGTGGATCTGTCGCTGTTTAGTGAAAAGGTAAGACATTTACAAGATTAGAACAACAGTATCAGCGAGTACCAAATACATACTTTTTTTAAACAAATCTATGAAGCAATATGACTTAAGACTGAGGATCTGTCGCTGTCTAGTGAAAAAGTAAGACATTTCATGCTACATAAGTGGTGTTGCATTACCAGATTAGAACAACAGTACCGGCGTGTAACAAATATGTACTTCTTTAAACATAAATCTATTAGACTCAACCTGTATAGCATTCTTTAAATACCAGTGTTTCAGTAGTCGAAGCGCCACTACTCGCTGATAAACCGGCTATAGTTATGTGAAATTGGTATTAACTGTGTGTGACCTTAAGATAAAGGCAGCGTACTGATAACACTCCAACATAAACGGCCATTGTTTGTATCTAATCTCGGCCTCTTTTATGTTGTAACTTGGTTAAAATAAATTTATATAATAATAGGATCTTTTTTTTTCGAAATATGTTTTCCTGGTCTATTTTCGATCCTAACATATCCTTCAATACCGACATTGTAATAATCAAGGGTTCAAAAGAGGGAGGTTGATGAAATTAGGGGGAAGCTTTATGGTGGTACTAACTGAGGAATATTCTATTTCTTTGTGTAATATGAAGCTGGACGTGTATGGTGCTCGTAAGTTTGCTGTTAGTTTTGTTCTTGTGTACATTGTTTTCATTTGAGAACGGGCATTACTTACTTGCAACGACCAAGGTTTACATGGTGGGTGTCGGCGATGGAAATGACGCTTAATATTCCGTAACAGATGGTCTTATTCTTCTTGTACCTTTTAAGGGTTCTCCGTGTAAATATTTCTTTGTTCGCATTTCGCCCTAGTTTTATGGAATTTGACTTAAGTTTATGACAATGTTTGTCATGTTGTTATTTTCTTGTTTCTTTAAAACATTCTTTGTAATATTTGTTTACTTTTGTCTTGACACCCAGATAAGCCATTTTACTGAGCTACATGTCCTAGAGTTTTCGTGTATTACTTTAGTTAATTGGATATGTATCTTTAAAATTAACATACCGTTCATAGAACCCACTTGGGTTTTAGGTATCGGTAAGAACTGCATTTTGGTCGACTTCAAATATTTCTATAATCACCTTAAATACAATGTAAACGTAGAACGAAATCCTAATTATAACCGAGTTTGTGGTTGAAAATATATTGTCGTTGTCTTCCAACAGATTTTTGATATACCAATGGCAATTCACTGTGACTCTGTGTTGGCTGAATTGATTTTGTTTTCATACTAAACTGACTCAATCGAGGAGATTGTAGTAACAGGTCCAAAGACCGTGTAAATTAAATGTCTTTTAATTTCACATTCATTGATATTGAAAATCAAAATACTTATTCTATTTCGATGAGAAAATCGATCTTGACCATGTTCAGAGTAAGTACCCACCAGGATTGGAATTCAAGGACACTCAAGACACTTCTACATCAGCCACTTATTTCAATATATTCCTAACATTATTCCAACATGGACAGCTTTCCATCAAGCTGTGTAATTTTAATTTCCGTATTGAAAATTTTCCATTTCTGTAGAGCAACAACCTGTATCTTACATGTCGCAGTTGATTCGATATCCAATATCCCAATATCAGGATTTTCGTGCAAGAAATCGTTGACTGAAGGACAAACTCACAACAGAGGTTTCAAAAGATGCCGGTTGTTGCTCATACTACCTGTATCATCATGTAGATATAAAGTTATGCTCTCAACAAGACCCTTCTGAATGGTAGGCAGCTATTTTGTGCATTTTCTCATCATATTCTCTAAGGATAGTTTATCAGTAATATCAAGCATGGAACTTGTTGATATTTAATTACACGACTAATGCATTGTAGGGTAGAATTAGACGTAAATGTTAATAGTGATGATTTATAGCACACATGATGTGTCAGGTAAAGATTTATTCAGATATTGGTGCTAATTTGTGCCGTATAACCATGGTAACATAAGGAGCTTTCTGTTTCCAGCTGCTTTAGGATTGAAGTGTGAATCTCCATCACATCAGATAAAACAAAGAAACGACTGGAGATGTGACTACAGTAAGATTTCCCAACACGTCAGGTTAAACGTTTGAGTATGTCATCGTATACGGGATTTGGTGTTAAATGTTCTAGGAGTGTTGTTGTCGAGAGTGTTAGTTCTGATTTCGCAAAACACTAAGCTTCAACATTGAGGATATTTTTCAATAACCAAAATATTTGGTGCTAAAAGATACAGATCGATAGATGAAGAGCCGTATTTCAGTAAGTGACATCAAATAAGGTTCTGTTTTGTTGTTTTAATTTGTTTAAAAAATACCAGAAATTTTGAAGCACGCCACTTTTTTTTAAATAGAGAGTTTTAGAAGATATATCTGCAATATTTCATTAATTTTTGGAAGGATAACATTATTTCAATCTTGTGTATGCGAGGTATCTTGATTTTCGAGAGATATAACTGGGTATTGTTGAAGACGTGAGTTAATACCTATTGTTTATGATTCGGTACCAAATACTGTGGATATTTTTAAGAACAAAGTTACAAACCTTACTAACTTTTCCACATGACCAATCAATTTGAAAGTGTGAAAATATGCAATTCTCAACATGAAATATAAATCAGTAATAATGATTCGAATATGTTTTTCTTCAGCTACAAACTTTTTTGTCTATTTTCATTAAATTATCAGTGACAATACCTAAATTGCTAAAAGTACGATTGAGTGCTGGTTTTCTAGTTAAGGGCAAAGACAGATTATTTGTTCATCAACACAAAAAAGTTTCAATTCAAGTACTATGTATTGGTACAACTAATATTTTATGTTTCCTAAATTACAGAGAACTTAGCAGAAAAGATATTTCAACGGAATCTTCATTTTCACAATGAAAGCAAGGCACAGTACAATCGTGATGGTTTCCATCTCCTTCAATATTGGCTTAATATGCTACATTTACTTCGGCACCTGTGGAGTACCAGTCACCAATCAACAGTCATCACGAGCTATAGCAAAGGAACCAAGGAAAACATCGTCCAGTATTTCAAACCAGAAATTTATCAATGGTCTTCAGCCTTTTACACTACTACAAAGTAATGTTAAGGAGGCAACAAACATTAACACTACATATCCCGAGAGTGGAAATCATCAAACAACTCCAGTTAAAGTTAATATTCAGAAAGAGTCACGTGCGTCGAATCGTGTTTACAACTGGAATGGTCATTCATGGAAAGAAAATAAAACTGTTTGTGAAAATCTTCCGCAATTTCGACAGGAAACGTTACGGACACGCTCCGGGGACACTCCTATCTTTATCCATGAGCCAGGAGTAGATAAATATATTTCACAAACTGTGTTGGTGTCAGGGACCTGGGAACGGGAGGTCGCTGTGGCGGTAGTATCCTTCCTTCAGGCCGACAAAGATCTTCAATTTCTTGATATTGGTGCCAATATAGGAGTCATATCATTAGAAGTAGCTAAACTCGGTCGCCGAGTAGTGTCGGTGGAACCATTAATAGATAATGTTCAGCGATTATGTTCATCATTTCGTGCGGGTCATTTCCCTAGTGATACCACAATAGTGTTCAATGCTGTGTCAGACATTCATGAACGGGTCGCACTGGGGCGCGATCAGGATAATGTTGGTGGTACGTTTGTTTTAAATAATAATCCAAACAAACGAAATGGATCAGATGTGAATCTAATCGGACAATACCGTGAACTAGTTAACACTGCCCTGCTGGATGACCTGCTATCATTGCTGTCCTCCGATCCTCTTACCAAGGTCGTCATCAAACTGGATGTGGAAGGATATGAAGACCACGTACTTAATGGTGCTGATGAATTCTTCCACAAAGTTGACGTACAAGCCGTTATAATGGAGTGGACATACAGTAAACAACCCGGCACTGCCGAGACAATCCAGTTGTTCATGAGCAGACACAACATGTACCCATATGACTTTAATCAAAGGGCATTAGAACTCACACCTCGTGCTAAATGGCCACCTAATATAGTGTGGTTAAAAGAAAAACGAAAACACAATAATTGATTACGTTGTTTGGAAGTAAAAAAAAATATATTTACATGTGTTTTGTATTTGTAAAATGAATCTGTAACTTTAATTGCTACCTTGAACCTATAAACAAAGAATAATTAGTCATTGTTGAATATCGTCATATTGAGATTATTCTCGAGAAAAAACACGAGGGAATACATCCACATTGTGTTACATGACTCTCCCGTGGTATTTATTGTCAGAAGTATCCATTTAAGTCCTTCTTTTGTTCAGGGTTTCCACTAGTTTTAGCGAATTTGAAGCAACATTTTGTTGATAAAGTGTTCAAAATGAAAAGTTAAAATCTAGACGGGGTTATGCACTAGTCCCATATTCAATAAAATTCTTTATGTGCATATCAGATAATTTTAAAACAACGTCAAGTACATGTTGAATGACAAGAAAGATTATCACTCCTAAACGCAGTTTGTCATTATTGACAATAAAAATTCAATAAAGTTTTTCCAATGTTCATTCACGCTCACCAAAAATTGCTCCCTCTGAGCGATTTCTTAACTTGGAATCCGGCGAAAAAGAAACAACTAAGGCAGGGATATTTTTTATACAAATAATAGTTCTAATTTAAAAACACATCATTTCAGCTCCAAGAGGAAAACTTCATCATTTTACCTTTTGTTATAGTCTTATAAAATCATGCTTCATTTCAATTGTTTCTATAACTTCGTTACATGGGGATCTGAGGAAGCGCCGTTCTGGTGACCTAATGTCAAATGTTAACCAGCCAATCAAACCACTGTCGTTTCTTAGCGTTGGTTTTTACGAAGAAGAAATATTATTTTATCACATCCGTAATCTGAATCATAATCCATATTAATATTCCATAAAACTAGGGCAAAATATGAAGAAAGAGAGACTACTGAAAAAGATCGAGGGACTTAAGAATTAAGACCAAGTGTTCCAGAAGAGTAAGCGTCTTCTGCTTCATCTCCGGAACCTGCAATGCAAGTCTTTGTCAATCCAATTAACAGATGTCAAGTTTTCAAATGAGAAATGAGTGCAAGGTATACAACAACGGAACAAACGGACACATTGACCGTATCAAATACATTCAGCTTCATATTGCACAAAAATAGAATATTTCTTAATGATAGCACTATGACAACCGTAAAACATCCCAAAAATTTCCATCAATCTGCACCTTTTGTCCATCAGGTGACTTCTTTCTCGCAATCAGTGATAACGGGACATGCGTTTGTATATCGAATCAACAACGTAATAATGTTGTTATCTAGAAATGAAAAATTCACAATAGGGAAGTTGAAATCATCATTCTTATGATACAGAGTGGCAGAAAACTGTCCGTGTTTCTTTCGTTGTAGGAAAAGATCGAGATAAGAGGCCGATATGTCTGCCCCGTCCATATACTTCATATTTTATTTATTTCCGAAACATCAGAGAAAGGGAAAATCTGATAGATTGAAAAGAACCCTATGTTAGCGATAAAAGGTCACTGGAACAGTTATTCCACCGATGTTCTGATCGATATCCATGTGAAGAGTTATGAGTTGAAAGATCCGATTTTGATAAGGTCGCTTTCAAGTTACCGATTGTTTTATTTTGGTATGTACTGTATATGGTTACAAGAAATTACTTGGAAGTACGAGAGCAATTAACTTTTCAGTTGAATGCCAAATATTCACAAGATTGTTATTTCACATTTTTGTAGATTAACACAAGTGAAAAGAGTCAAAATTCACCTCATAAAATTGACCAATCGTAAATGCCGTAAAAAAAAAAACCCGAAGGGGTTGTTTACTTCTAATACGACTGCAAAAAGTGATCAGAGATCAGACTCAATCCCCGACTGAGTGTGAAGCGAACACGTTAGTCAGCATGAAAGAGAATTCGTGTGATCAACAGCGACAGCTGTATGTTGTCGCCATATTTTCAGTCGCGTAGTAATTTTACATAGATTAAATTCACTTTGAACGTTTTACAGAAAATTTTGTCTGTTAGCGACATGAATAAGTAACATTTTCTTAATGAATATGGAAATAAATTTACATTGATATTTATCTTTATATTGACATATTCTTAATGAGGTTAATAAAATAACAGACCTAATTTTGTCGCGCATCGCGAAAATGAATAGTATTCGCCTAAAGCCTTGTCAGCTTCTTCGTTTTATATCTGTTCCAAACATGCCAGTTATCGGGCTTTCTTGCTTGTGAAAATGTAATGAATATTAATGTTTTCAGCAATAACAAATATATTTCAGTCGTGTGTCTAAGATATTTTACATCTTTCGCTCGTGTTGCGCACTCTTGACAGGTACTAAAATATTAGACACACTTGTTTCTACTGAAGACACTATCACATATTCTATTTTCCTTTGAAAGTGATTGATATAAATTCAACATTTGGATACGTGTTGGTTTGATATGACATCACACCACGAAAGACGTAAGAGTGGCTGATTAGTCGGACATGATTGTCAGAAAAAAATTAGAACCTATACGTCGATTTCTCTGAACATCTTAGGACAAAGTACTGAGAATCCAAGTCACTCCTTTTTCCTAAATAAAAACTGACAATACATTCACATTACTTGCTTCGCTTGAATGTGCAGTGAATGTGGATGTTTATAGCATCCATTAAAGCGATATCTGAATTTAACATTTCAAATTGCAGCAAATGTAAACCCTGCTGGGATTGTAATGCCAACTAGGATCATTTTTTGTCTACCGACAAAGTCAATCCCTTTATACAAAACAGAATCATTTGGTACATTTTCGTTATAAGTAGGTTAAATATTGAGTTATAACTAATCTGCATTACGCATGACTGTTAATTGTCACTTTATAACAAATAATTAGTATCAATTTGTACCATATCACTATGGTAACATAAGGTGCGTTTTTTTGTCTCCCTCTTTTCGATTTGTGTACGAAATGTCTCATGTAAGGTAGAACCAAGAAACGGTTGATACAGGTACGTGTTATTGTAGGGGATTTGATGATAAATGGCCTGCGTATATCGTTCTCAAAGAATATCAGTTATATTTTTTGCAACTTGCTAAGTGATGACATAGCGGGAAGCACATTTGTCAATAGTCAGAAAATAAAATACTAAAGAGACAGATTGAAGAATAAATTACTGTACTAGAGATTCAATTCTTTATGCAATGTTTTGCCATTTCCATATGGTTTATAACAAAGCAAGCAGCTCAAATAGAAAATGATAACTAAATTCTAAACAGCAAACTTTATCATTGCTTTAACACTTAACTAAAATATTATTGATATAAGATGTTAACATTTGGCAGACGAAGAAATTTATTTGGCATTTGTTCAAGAAAATACGTCATGGGATTATCCGCTGTAGAGGTTAGCTGTGAGCGTGACAATGCAATACTTTAATTGTGACATAATGATAGACAGAAATTATACGGTAAAGTTTGTTTGTTTGTTTGTTTGTTTTTTAATATTTTGTTTTTATTATCGATGGTCCAAATTCCTCAGAAATGTACTTTTCACGGTAATCATGATATCGACAACGGATCTCTCTATTCATTTTAAAGTGCATGTTTATCGAAGTCTATTACATCCTCGAAAATAATTATTATTGACGGTGACAAGACAACTGTCTTTTCTCCATTCCTCTGCTCGAGGTATAGTCAACCAGGACAAGACAACTGCTTCTTCTCCATTCATCTGCTCGAGGTATAGTAATCCAGGACAAGAAAACTGCCTCTTCTCCATTCCTCTGCTCAAGGTATAGTAATCCAGGACAAGACAACTGCCTCTTCTCCATTCCTCTGCTCAAGGTATAGTAATCCAGGACAAGACAACTGCCTCTTCTCCATTCCTCTGCTCAAGGTATAGTAATCCAGGACACGACAACTGCCTCTTCTCCATTCCTCTGCTCAAGGTATAGTAATACAGGACAAGAAAACTGTCTCTTCTCCATTTCTCTGCTCGAGGTATAATCAACCAGGACAAGACAACTGCCTCTTCTCCATTCCTCTGCTCGAGGTATAGTAATCCAGGACAAGACAACTGCCTCTTCTCCATTCCTCTGCTCAAGGTATAGCCAACCAAGACAAGACAACTGCCTCTTCTCCATTCCTCTGCTCGAGGTATAGTAATCCAGGACAAGACAACTGCCTCTTCTCCATTTCTCTGCTCGAGGTATAGTAATCCAGGGCAAGACAAATGCCTCTTCTCCATTCCTCTGCTCGAGGTATAGCCAACCAGGACAAGACAACTGCCTCTTCTCCATTCCTCTGCTCAAGGTATAGTAATCCAGGACAAGACAACTGCCTCTTCTCCATTCCTCTGCTCGAGGTATAGCCAACCAGGACAAGAAAACTGCTTCTTCTCCATTCCTCTTCTCGAGGTATAGTAATCCAGGACAAGACAAATGCCTCTTCTCCATTCCTCTGCTCGAGGTATAGCCAACCAGGACAAGACAACTGCCTCTTCTCCATTCCTCTGCTCGAGGTATAGCCAACCAGGACAAGACAACTGCCTCTTCTCCATTCCTCTGCTCAAGGTATAGTAATCCAGGACAAGACAACTGCCTCTTCTCCATTCCTCTGCTCAAGGTATAGTAATCCAGGACACGACAACTGCCTCTTCTCCATTCCTCTGCTCGAGGTATAGTAATCCAGGGCAAGACAAATGCCTCTTCTCCATTCCTCTGCTCGAGGTATAGCCAACCAGGACAAGACAACTGCCTCTTCTCCATTCCTCTGCTCAAGGTATAGTAATCCAGGACAAGACAACTGCCTCTTCTCCATTCCTCTGCTCGAGGTATAGTAATCCAGGACAAGACAACTGCTTCTTCTCCATTCCTCTGCTCGAGGTATAGTAATCCAGGGCAAGACAAATGCCTCTTCTCCATTCCTCTGCTCGAGGTATAGTAATCCAGGACAAGACAACTGCCTCTTCTCCATTCCTCTGCTCGAGGTATAGTAATCCAGGGCAAGACAACTGCCTCTTCTCCATTCCTCTGCTCG